TATTTCAAGTATTGGGGAGATGCAAACTTAGTGGAAGAAGCAGTGCCACTTGCCACGAGCGACAAAATTTGAAGACAGGCTGGAAGTATATGATAGTGATCAAATGCCAGGAGGTGGACTGAAGGGTCAATTAACAAATTAGGGAGTAAGAATGCAGCAAAGCAGATAATAGACTAAACAGTAGTGGAAGTATAACACAGGTAAAGACAATTTGCTATGGATTTGAAAAATTTAGTGCAAGATGAAAAGTGGTATGGATTGGGATATGGGACTGTGTGTTGGATAGATGAACAAGCTGAGGTCCCACATTGCCTTTTTATAGCATGAAAATTAAGCTTCACAAAGTCAGATAGTACATGGCCAACACAGACCAGAGATGTTGATGATTTTGCAAAGCATTGTACAAACTGATGCTTTTGAAAAGCATCAAATAATCATGTTGTACCAAAAGATGACCAAATGTGATTCCACACACTTTCAAAGGGGAAAAAAGAGGTGGGAAGTAACTTAGGGTTTCTATTACTGAGGCAATGTGAGGTACTTATATAGACAAGCATCATGTACTGAAGGACAAATAAGGAAATCACCAAAAGGTGGTACAATCAGAGGGGATCTATGATCGCCGATATACAAGTGAGTCAAGAAAGGTAGAGGAAAGAGGATGACCAAATCCAGCACTCTGGATTTGGTTTACAATTAGTGGTTGTTTGGATATGGAGTAGATTGCGGTACATAGTAGGTACGGATCTGGCAAGATCCGTTACATGAGTGAACAAGATATGTTTAGTATAAGAAAGAGAGATAATGAAAAATAGAGAAAGCATATAAAAGCGCAAAATCAGGGAACAAAGGAATAGCTATATTGGGGAATCACACAAATGCCTGCTTTTCAAATTAGCATCTGTGGGTATGTATCAAAAGTTGTGCAAAGTGTGGCCAACAAAGGTCTTTGAAGATTGAACGAGGTGAAAAGCACTATTTTAAAGTGACGATCTAATGGCTGACAGAGGGCTTTGATGATTGAACCAAGCCAGATTGAGTAAAACAAACAAAGGCAACAGCGCAAACAATCAGTAGGAACAATTGAAGAGAAACACAAGCCAGGTCAGATAGAAAGCATGCATGCCAGGTCAAAAAAGGGGACCAAAGCCAAGGAAGTAAACGGTACTTCATGCGGGTGGCTTGTACATTTTTATACTTTAGATAGAAAACACAATTTAACATCAAAGATAAAAAAATACACTTGCTATCTCTCCGTCCATGAATCAAGCTACCATGGTGTGTTGATTGGTGTTGACAGGTGGCTTGATACGACTGCATTGAGATCTTTGTTGATGTTGGTGAGAGAGTTGCTGATCAAGCCTTCCTTTTCTTGGCAGCAATTCTTGATTGTGCTGTCCATGTCTTCCAAAAGAAAAATACTGCCAGACCAGGAGGGTGCATCCAGTAGTGGTGTATTCAGAGCCAACAGCGGAAATAGAATCAGGAGGAGCAATACTGGTAGACAAATGATATGGGTACTGGAAGGGATTGAGCTGGGGGGCCACTAGGTTTTGCTGACACATGCACTGCACAGAGTATTTGACCCAATGAAAGGGTGTTGATAGTGCCTTGGAGGGCATTTTTGATAAAGGGATATAAAGTCCAACAAAGCTTATAAGAGTCTACTTTGGGATATAAGAGCATATATAGAGGGTATAAAAGTATATTTTGGATATAACATTGACTCTCACGTAAGTCAGATGAGTAAGTTGTGAATCTCCAAAGTTTACATCTTGGAGGAAAAGGTACCTGGAACCCAGTCAGGCGGTGGCACCTGTCATATCTGCTTGGCATTTGTGAAGCTGATCAGGTTAGGTTTGAGTGTGCAGAGGCATGTACTGTCAGATCCTGGGAATATCATTGGGCAGGCTTGGCTGGGTGTGGCCCCGGGTCATAGCCCTACTACAGCAGAAATCATTGTTATGTTATTGAAAAACCATAAAATATCTGAATTGGAAACCCCTTATTATGGGGTTTCAAGTTGGCTTTTTTATGACATGATATGCTACAATAGGGGGGCTCAAGTCAAAATTTTTTACTACTTTTATTGTAAAAAACTTTCCCCAATTGCATAAAATTTACGCAAAATTTTATGAAATTGGGAAATGTTATACAACATCCCAAATTTTTTTAAGCAGCAAATTTGCGTAAATTTACTGCTCAGAAGGAGATCTGAAAGAAAAAAATTTGGTCCTTTTTTACGAATTGGGAGAAGTTTTTACAGCACGGTACCGTAAAAAACTTTCCCCAATTTTTTAAGAAAGGGCCGTAAATATTTTGACTTGAGCCCCCTTAATAACTTGCACATTGTTGTAAAATATGCATATAATTCTTTTAAATTGAAACCCCTCATTGTTATTTGCTGAGAGACAACATATGATGCAATACATACTAAATTACAGCATAAAATTTCTACTTATGTACCATGTGTGATAACCAAGATTGTGTACATTGTAAGTACCCAGCCTGATCCTTGGTATGAATAGCACTTGAACCTTTGGGGTAAAAAGTTACAAATTGCACATTTCCGCCATCACCAGACATGCTGAACAGAGGAGCCGCTTTTTCAAGGTAAACTAGCTTCATTTCTTTAACTTGTTCAGATGGTTTTTATCCAATAAATATTTCATGCACTTTTCAAAACCAAGGAATAAACCAAAGAAAAAGATGCTGGAGGTCCGAGATGTGTGGCATCTGCCCGTACCTTTGTGCATCTTTTGCACATCTCACAGATCTGGTATCATGCTACAAGGTTTTACGAGATATGGATATGCCTCACTGCTTCATTCAAATCAATTGATAGTTTGGATATTTTGCGGCTACTGGGCGAAATAATCGCGCTTCCGGTTCCACTATTTTCCCATTCGCCATCGATATGCATCCAAGACCAAGTGAAGCAGTAAGTTCCATCGGGGTCGATCTGCGTATTGACTATTTTTTGGATTTTATCAAAAAAACAAACGTATCAAATTACTTATAAAGGTCGAATGACTTTGGATGTTTCTGCAAGTCTGCCTATGACATACCGTCGCCTGGGTAATACTGACTTATACAGCCTCGGGGCTTGAACATGCCTTGTGAAGTGCGCTGACGAAGTGCTGGTAGATCTCGTTGTGAGCAGATGAGAGTGGAAACTCCAAGTCTGCTTGAAATTCATCACTAACTTAACATTTTCATTTTTTTCCCATTGTACTGGATAGTAGGGCAGCGAACAAAGAGATCCTCCATTGGCACCGTTCCCAGTTGCGCCAGGTGTGTAACAAATTTGTCACGAACGCTGTCCACTAACTCGGCCTTTCAAGGCTCAGCAATGATCCTTCGATGATTGAATCAGGATTTGTGCTACATCAGAACTCACACATTATTCTCCGTTCATCCTCTAAATCCATTATCAATGCGATCATCCAGGGTTGAGAAAACACATGTATAATCAACATACGCCTTCTAAACATTTTCAGTAGAGCACATAAAGAGACTGGTCTTCAACATCAGGACTCACTTGCTGACCCCAAGGTGAAGGGTAGTACACACAGGAGTACAGTCAACAGCAGCATTTTAAGCATATTGAGTGGAGCAGAACTAAGACTTATTTAGTACAGTTTTTGATATCAGATTCTCAAAAAGAAAGTCAATCACAAGCACGAGCAATCAAACCCTGCTAAACAAGCAAGATGAGCTCTTTTATACTGTTGGTTCTTATCGCAACTTATCATAGTAATTATTTCTGATGGGTCATGGATCCAGTCATCTTCGGAGTTGATCGGAAATCTGACATACATGGACTGCAACTAGCAGCATCTTGGAGGTATAGACAATCAGTGTTGCTATCAGTCGACTCGAATCGACAGTAAAATGAAGTCCTCCGCACGCCTCAGTCATCTGAGACGAATTTTCTTTGAAGATTTGTGTAGATGCTGCGGTACCCGACTGAATCTGAATCGCGCCCAGCAGCTTCACCAAGGCGAGGCTGGGTCACCGATGTCAATGTACCTGAATTGAAATTGAGTACAATCGTGTGGTTGACGAGTTTGCTGTGTTGTGGTTTGATCAAACCCAAAATGCAGATGAAAATAAGCAACCCACTTCCACCCGATCTCAAACCAGTCACATCTGGTTGAGTGATGGAGGGGACAGGGTTGAAAACGCCAAACCGACATTTCTTCGAGAGTTCTTTTCAATCGGGTGAAGATGAAGTTATTCGAATATGTCCAACCCGAACATGTCTAGATCTGAGTCATAAAGTCTCTTGTTTATCTGTTTCGATCAACTCGCACGTATCTGGTACGGCTTTTGTGATATGAGGGGAATTTATTGGGCACCCAGTGCCGTGGACGGCAGTGGACGGCTCATTGCAGTTCGATATCATTCAATCAATCGTTTCATTCGTTCATTATCCTTATCACTTATTTATTCGTTATCTTGATACTATTTGTATGAACACTAGTTCACTTATTCCAACATGCATGATTTCAGTCTCTCCGACTGGCTTCACGACACAAGCAAAAACACCGGCGCTTGAAAAAAAACTGTTCACACGTGTTTCTCTCGCATTCTTTGAAATGTTTCTTTATACTTGAAAATGCCTCACAGATTCACAATCACTACACACATTCTTATCTCACTTTTTTTGTTCAACTTTTTTCACTGGATTTTTGTGTCGAAATAACAATCGTTTTGATCCTTTTTTTTCTTTCAAGAAAATAAAAATCTCATTGAATTCTAACCTAAATAAAACTAAACATACATTTCATTCATTCATTCCATATGTCATAAAAAAACCCATTAAAAATCGTGTTATAAAAATATTATAAAATCTATCTATCCATCAATCAATCAATGAAAAAAAATACATGAAGATCTCCTTTGGTTAACTTCATCAAATCAAAAGAAATCCACTCTTTCACACGATAACAAAAATAACACATCATTTCTGTTCTCTACCAAGTGTTTCTATCAGTTTAAAATGTAGGCCAACCACCCACATCAGATCCGATTTCTTGACGTCTAGCCACATGTGTAGGAATCGATTGATTTAACCAAATCTTTCGAATTTCATCCCATCTGACTCTATGTAAAAATTGAGGTCTACCTCTCCTATAAACCAAAACAAAAGAAACCTATCAATGATCCAAGTTTCAAAGAAAATAATCAAAATACTAACTTGATCCCCATATCATGTTCTCCATGTTCATCTAAATAAGGTGCCATGGTAAACGTTCCATTTTGCGTAGACAAATATAAAACCGAACATTTTTTGATCAAAAGATAAAGTCCAATCGAACCACCACAGCTACCATAAACAAACGCAATGATAAGCATAAACTTCTTTACGAAGAAAGAAAGAAAGAAAGACCAAAAAATAAAGGAGTGAATCAAGAAACTTACTTCCACATATGCACATTACATTCTCCATTCTCAGGGTCATCCGATAAATTTCTACTAGTACAACAAAAAGCTTGTACACAAACGACCGTACCACAAAGTAAACAGATCCCAGGATCTTGTGGTATCATCTCACATCTTTCACATTTTCTCTGCTAGGCAGATTCACCCAAGACTTTTCAAATTTATATGGTAATCCAATCAAGTCATAAATTACGGAATGTTCTAATGCGATTGATTTGATCATATCTTCATTTTCAAAGATATCTATCCATTCTTCTGTATCTGATGTGGTGGTTGATGTTGTGGATCGATTTTGTAATTGCTTGTTCATTCTTGAGGTAGCACTTTCATATTGTTCTAGATGATCGATCCAACTAATCATAATAGATTGAATTCCTTCTGCTTTACGTAAACTTGGATCTTCTTGTGATTTTCCACCTTCATATAATATTTCAACAACACTAGGTACACCAAGTTCTTGTCGTAATCTTGTGTGTTCTGATCCCATTTGATTTTCATTTTCATTTTTTGAAACTAAAATCACACTCTTTAACATTGCAGATCTTCTTAAGAATGGTAATGTAAATCTTCTAATCAACTTCTCGAAAATCAAATCATCAATCTCAACAGCTTTTCTATCTTTAATCTTACAAGCTTCCAATACTTTCATCAAGATCGCTTTCAATGATTTTCCTTCTCGTTCTCTTTCTTCTTTGGTTTCATGTACATCTTCATTCTCTTGATCTTCTGCAATCTTCCACCAATCATTCGGATACTTTCTAACCATATAACAAACACCAAGTAAAACCCTTAAAACTTCAATATAATAACATAATGGCATCACTAATGAAAAGGCTTCTGGACAAATCGCTGCGCAATGAATCACAAGTGAAAATGGATCTGTAAAGATGATAGGTAATTTACCGAAATCAGATCTTCTCGTAAACATATTATCAGTAATCATAGGTGGTCTAAGTTGTCTCATTAATAAACCCATCGCAAATTTCTTGGCACTTCTACATCCAGTTTCAATTTCAAGTATCGAAACCATCACAGCCAATAAACTTCTAATCAATTGTTGTTGTGTTTCATTTAATGCATTCATTACGCCTCCGTTGATAAGTTGACCTCGACTTGAGATTTCATTACATTGAAGTGTATAAGCTACTAAATCTCTTGGAATCTTAGGTCTTACTTGAGTATCACCGCATTCTCTTCCTAAGGCGCCACTGACCATTAAGAACCTTTGTAGCATTGTAAATTCTTCTGATCTAGTACTACTCAATCTTGATGCTTCTTCAGGTAAAGTAGCATGAATAAACCAAGGTATGATTTCATCACAATTGGTTATATTCAAAACCGAAGTATAACTTGCTGTACCGAATTCTTCAATCATTTCATCTTCTAAACTATCGATTGATGAAAGCCATTCCATTAAATCAAGTTTAACTTCATCTGGTTCTTGAATCATTGAAAGATCCGGATCAATTGCAGGTAAAAAGATATTTCCAATACTCTTACAAAGTGGACAAAGGTATTCACATCTTTCTGGATTCTCGGGATGATTTCTGGTCACTTGTGTTGAATGTCTTAATTCGATTGAAGTATAATAAGTTTGAAAACATGATAAATGCATCATATGACCACAAGCCGATGTAAATAATCCGAATTTCGTATTATTTCGTGTTGGGAATCCCATCGCATGCCATTCAACTGCTTCTACATTTCCATCGGATCCAATTCGAGTTTCAGAAAGATTGACGGATTGTCGACTAGCTACACCTGCTGGTCCACCTTGTCTTCCATCGAGATCTAGACTATCAGGTGTTAAAACCACTTCTTGTAACCATGGTTCTGCTTCTTCTGGTGTTAAATCTGATGGAGTAATCTTAATCATTCGACTTGATTGAATTAATCCTAAAGCTCCAAAGCATCTAGACTTGGTTAAATCTTCTTGACATAAAATACAATTCCCATGTACTTTTTCAATTTCGACTTCAATTTCACTTTGATTGACATTCATCTCATCACTTCCAATTTCTTCATCTGAATCTTCATCTAAATCATTTTGCATCACAAAAGCTTGTTGAGCTGCTGCAAATTGTTTCATAAGTGCAGCTTGTCTCGCTTTGGCTGCTTCTTTCTTTTGATCTTCAATTAGATTTGTTTGATCTTCTTGACTTAAACCTCCACTTTTAGAATCAGAGTTACCAGATTTAGGTCCAGATCGATCAGGTAATCCAGTCAATCTTGTCATCGTATCCAAACACCAATTCACTTTTCTTTTCACTCCTTTCATAGCCGGTTCACCGTCTACCGCTTCTAACATCATCATCAAGGACATAGCATGTGGGTTAGCACCTTTCAAAGGAAGTTTACGTTCAACAGCCATGTTCGCAAACGATTCTGGTTGTTCAATTAAAGCTTTCATCACCAAATGAATAGCTTGATCAGCAAGGTATTCAGAATACCCTTTCATCGTCGGATTCACCCTTGCCAAAGCATAAAAGATAATTTGTAGCAAAACTTCTGAATTATAAGTATGAAGTAGTCCAGTAAACGGTCCCGGATTGACTTTAAGTGGCATAGGTAAATTAACCGGATCAACTTCATTACTGATCTTTTTTAATCGTTCAACCATTAACTTTTCAGCTTCTTCTCTTTGATTTCGACCAAATCGACAATAATATGGATCAATCTCTAAATAAAATTCTGGTTTAAGACTATAAATTCCTACATCATTGATCCCACTGGGTTGTTTAAAATCTGCTAAAGCTTTTAAAGTTTGATCAAATCCTGATTCTGGCATATATCGATCTGGAATTCGCTTGATGATATCGGAATATGGCATTGGTGATAAACAAAGAATATGAATGATTTCTCGTCTTAAGCCATCTTCCTTACCAGTTTGACTCACACCAGCCGGTTCAGAAAGGATGATGATGAGAAGATGCAAGAGTTCTTCTAACATGGTGATCATTTGACTAGGTTCGTAATTCCGATCACTAAGTAGTTCACCATTACACCATTGTCGTAATCCGAATCGATCTACAATCGCCACTAAGACGTGACTGGGATCCTTAGCTGATAATAAAACTTGAAGCTGATAAATATCTTGATCGAATGTGGTCTCTCTTAGACTATATTCTCGATAATGTAGTCCTTGTGCTCTAAAGCCGAAACCGTTCCGAACCCAAAGTCCTGCACGAACTTGAGCTAGGAGTGATGCCACTACAATTAAATAAACCAAAATGTTAATGAGGTGATCACGATTACGTAAGGAAATAGGTCGAACAGCTTACCTCTCAGAACATCCTCAGATACGATCAGCGCACCCAAATCTACACCATCATGATTAGGAGGTTCAACCTCAGCAAAAAGGTCTGCGATGCCACGAATCGGAAGACCATCAAGATTTTGAAAATCGATTCTATGAATATGTCGAAGAATCTCGGCCAAGAGCCAATTAATCGGATGATGAAAACTAACAGCCTCTTTATCTATCCTAAAATCAATACATTTATAAGTAACTGCAGATGAAGGTGGAGTCACTGAAAGACTTGAACCAAGTAAAGCAGATCCGAATTGAACTTCATGAAAACTATACTGTCTTGTAAGCATATGACCTACTAAAACACGGATTGCATTCACGAATTCTTGATTACTTGCTTTTGCATAACATTCACCAAAGAATTTACAAAGTTTAGCTAATTGAATCGTTAGATTAAATGCAGTCACCCAAGCATCAGATTCGAATTCCACATGAACGTTTGCTGCTCGTTTGTTAGGGTTCATATTCGTAAATAAATCTACAAAGGTGATGAGATCCATTAAATGCTTTGTGTCATGACAGATGGCCGCTTGTACACCTGGTGAGCTCAAGATTAAATTCAATTCGTGAAATAAATGATAATATCGTTTGTGTCGAAAACTCATCCCTTCAGGATCGATCGTTTTCTTTCGAAGGTCAGGAGGATAGATAATATATCTGAAATCACCATGTACCAAATTTGAAGGTGCAAATTGATGAGTAAAGAAAGAATAGAGTAAATCGAGGATCATCTTCAAGAATCCATGATCGGTGACCAAGACGACCACTACACTTGGAACCGTAACGATTTGAAGACTGAAGAGTAAAATGTTGTGCTCAGGTTCACGATCGACCAACAAGTTGTACTCGATCAATTGAGGAAAGACTGAAGTGAACAAAATACCGAGTTGTAATTTGGTAGGTTGTCCCAAAGCCAAGAGTGAGATATAAAGACTTTTTAATCGATCTCGAGCATCTTTCCAAAGTTTGATATCATTTAATAAAAATCTTGCAAATCGACTTTTATCACCTCCTTCATAACCTACTTCAGGTTTACCACAGATTTTGTCAGCTATTAATTGCTTGATCCAAGTTTCTTCCTCTGGTGGAACATTGTAAAGACGGCAGGCAGCCAGGTCTACTAAGAAAGCAATCACGAGTTCGGCAATTTGTTCACAAAACAGATCATGCGCGGTTCGTACAGTGACCGTCAAGTCTATACTTGCAATCATTTTGGCGGCTTGTAGAATGTCATCTGCATCGCTAGAAACTTCGATGATGTCTCTTCCCTACAGAAAACAGAATGGATAAATTAGATTTTTACGCTTATTATCAAGTGACTGATACATTGAGAGTAAGAGTGGTACCAACTTTACTGTCCACTCGATTCGCTATTTCCAAAGCTTCTCTCCGAGAACAACCAGTAGCCCTGGAGACTTGATCAATAACTTGTGCATAACTATGTTTCTCATCGTTCCACAAGACAAGACCCCAGGGACCCGCTCCTTTAGGTTTTTCTTCAGGGAGCCGCTCATCATGATTGCGCCACTTTGACCACTCATCATCAGTTCCCTCACCAGGCCCACGCAAGACTTCAAATTGGCCAACTTTTCCAACGATCCCAAAAGTAGCAGGTGTAGGAGGAGGGGCCACAGGTGTTGCAGTTGAGGTAGATGCATCAATACTCTTACCCTTTCCCTTCTCTTGACCTTTATTATCCCAAAGTGCAGTAGACCGATTGGTAGGTGTTGAAAGTCCCGGATCTTCAGCCGGAGGAGCGTTCTGTAAATGATAAGGATTATGATGATGAGAGTATTGCGTATCGATATCCATTGAGTCGTCTGAAGATGAGAAAGAGTTTCGAGGCATTTCGAGGTAAGCATTTTCTTCAATTCTACTTAATTCACTGTAAATGTTATCAACTGAATTAGGAGGCGTCATATCTTCGGGACTTCTATCCAGAGTGATAAGAAGAAAATCAAGAGCGATTGTAACGATCTGTTCGATAACATCTTTACATTCCTTTGGTAATGGATTGAGATAAGTTTTCTTTGATCCTGGAACCTCGTTTAATTTGTCTTCTTCTAGTTTCTTAAGCGCTTCTTCTTTTTCTTCCAATGTTAAATTTGAATGATATTTACAGTTGATTTCAGTCTTCCAAGCTTCTGTATCACCGCAATCGCAACATCCACAACCGGTGGTGTGAATTGAATAAATCACATCATGACCAACGTGATCAGAGGCATGAAAGCATTTAGAGCATAATGCACAAGTCGTATCGAGACCACAATCACTAGAAGTAAAAGATAATTTGATTAGTTTGATCACTGATAGAAAGGATGACGTCATGGGTAAAGTGCGCTGAAGGTAAAGAGTAACTCACCTGCAATGATAAACTCCTTCACCTTTTTCAAAGACATGACCACAAGGTTTTCCTCTTCTATTTTGACCATATTCCACAGCTTCTTCACCTTGAGCTTTCACCAAAGAGAAAGAAGGGCCGACTTTAGGTAGCGTAGTGATCGGGATAGGATCGCCATTAGGTAAATGAAGTTGATCAATTTGATTAAAAGCATTTTCAGGAAAGAAATGAGTAGCCCATTTGGGTTCCAAAGCAAAACTATAAAGAGTTTTTAACATTTGAGTTGAAGTAGTTGGACATGATACTAAGTTTTGACGATTAGGAGGAACAGCAGGTGAATCAGATGAAGTCGAAAGATAATCGATTTTTGATAAGAAAGTATGTAAAGAGATCGAATTGCGAATCGGATTGAGTTGTTTATGACGAATGATGAAAGGCTTTCCATCTAAAAGAGTATGAGTATCTTGATATCTCGTATTGGAATCCATGATGATGATGGTGATGATGATTAAAGTTCAAAGTAAAGACAATGACCATGACCATGACCATGACCATGACCATCACGCTCAAACCCAAACTTGAACAAGCTCGATCAAAAATACCCGAATCAGAGCGATCGGATACTACATATTACAGGGCTCTACACAACAACAGCACCCTCAACACACATCACATCATAATGAAGTCTTCGAACGTCTTAATGAAAGAAACATGTTCGAATTCAGATAGCCAGCTGCGCTTCTTATTTCGTGATCTACCATGAATCTGTGAAGGAATTTCGTCACAGATGACTGAGCCCTGTGTGGAAAACTTCATTGTACTGCTGACACTGTTTGGACTCTGGAGTCCTTCAGCTAAGACTTGTGGTTTATGTCTTCAGGATACATTTAGTTGCAGTCTGTGTATGTTACGATTTCAGACCTGCTCTGCTAAGACTGCTAAGACTGCTGATGACTGGGTCCATGACTTTTCAGAGACGATTTTTATGATAAGTTGTGAAGAGAAAGAACATTAATATGAAAAGTCCGTTGTGGTTGATTTCAGGGGTTTGCTTGCTGACGCATGAGATTGTCTTTCTTTTCAAGAATCTGATATCAAAGATTGCACTAAGCATTTCTCTGGTTCTGAGCCACTAATCAATATGCTTCAAAAGCTTCTGTTGACTGCACTTCTCTGTCTGCAACTTCATCTTGGGGTCACCAAGTGAGTCCTGATGTCAAAATCCACTCTTTATATACTTTACTCAAAAGGTTTGAAAATTTTGATTACACAACTTTGTTCACAACCCTCAGTACCATATTATTGCAAATAGATGTACTTAGAAATGGACATGGGGATGGATGTAGCATGGGCTAGGCAAAGTGAGTTCTGATGTACGTGCAAATCCAGATGAGCAAAGATCATATGCTGAACCTTGGACATTTGAAAAAGGCAACGGTTTTTATGTCATGTTTAATGCATGATTGAAGGTCAAGATTGAAGTTGAAGTTCGCAGCATGAGGTGAGAATGACAATCAGATTAAAGTTGAAGTTGGTCAACTTGGCTCTGAGTCGCACTCAAAATACCCGAAATAGACACATCGGATACAGGACATACATTTCAGAAAAGCTTGTCACGGTGCACAATTACCCCGCCAATTTGCCGGGTAATTTGCTCGAGTTTGGCGGGCACAGTTGATCAAGCTTTTGTACCAAAAGTACCAAAAGCTTGCTGATTCCTGAAGTTCATCACATTTCTTTCTATCCTCACTAAAAATCTTTTTGATTGATTTGTAAATATCTACCGGTTCAATACTATTTCCATGCATGATTCTGGTCAAGAAGACTCAACGAAGTCTTGTCCATTCGACTTATGGTCATTAGTTTCCACAACTTGCAAATGACCAAGTATAATGCTTCGTTCTAGTGGAGCAATTTCACCACGTATCGTTTCTGGTATTAGTAATTATGATTACATTTTTATTACAAAAAAACAAACCAAAAATGTAAAAAGACATAATCTCATTACATTTAACCGCAAAGGTAAAAACATGAAAAGCGATCATAAAACTACAAGCGAGTAAGCCATAAATCAATGATCAAACATAATTTTATAGCACAAAAAAAATGACAAACATCAAGAAAAGCAATTTTGATATTTCAAAAGTTACGTTTTGAACAACAATTGAACTTTTGATAAGAAAAACTCAGCAAGAAGAATCAAAAAAGGAGGAGGAAAAGCAATTCACCTCAGCCGCGAAGTTGAGCTTTTGAAAACGAGAAAAATAGGTTATAAGGAACGAGGATTCGCCTTGGTTCAGTTGTGTTTAGAAAATCATCCATCACGTTCACGTACTAAAGCCTCTTGAACGAACCTTATCATATAATCATCATCATCGCACTTACAAAAAAGCATTCGACACCTTGATAGACACCATGAATACCGGCTTTCCTAAATCATTCATCTCTTGTAGTGAATCTGAATCAGGCTCAAGTGACTTCCATATACTCAAAAGACACCAATCGATCCAAGAATTTGAAGCCGTAGGAGAATGTAACGATATAGTAATCCCAGACGCAGAATCCAACCAAGAAGAAGACGCATTAGAAGCAGAACTCAATGGGATCAATTCCGAAAACTTATTAAGAATCTTAAACCAAGAAAAAACACAAAACCAATCAATCTTATCATTAAAACAAGAATTAAATCAAACCTTACACCAAGAAGAATTATATTTTATACAGAAATCCAATATACTCGAAGAAAATCAAAGAAGAATTCATCAGGAAAAATTACAATGTCAATTTCGTTCGAATGAGATCTCCGGTCAAAATTTATTACTTGAAGAGTTTAGAAAAGTTATCAAGATTGATGTTTTAGATTTTAAAGAAGAATTGAAGAAATGCGATAATGAGTTAGCAAGTCAAGTAAGTTTTTTCCATATAGATTTCATGGAGAGTCTTCAGTTGGAGAACCGTTCGTTGATCCCTGTTCTTTTGACTTCTTTTTATTTGTAGGAAGCGGATTTTTTGAAAGAAAGATTGAGGATCATGCAAGAATCAAATTCCTTGAACCAAACGATCAACAAACTTAAAAATGAAATCAAAGCCAGGCAATCAATGATCCAGAGATTCAAAAACCAAAAAATGATAACCGTACAGAACGAAGTAATAGATGAATTAAAGCGTTTAAGAGAAACAGTAGTACCCAAGAAACAATCAACCTTATATCAACTCCAAGAAGCAATCCAATCGAAAAAAACACACGTAAAAACCCTACAAAAATCTATCAAACAATTAAAACTAAACAACACTTCTTCATCTGACCAAAATTTAATTACCATCCCAAATCCAATCCTTTCTTTAATCAAAACAAATCAAGAATTGATCAATTATTTGAAATCTTTGCTTTACAAAATCATTTCTTTACCTAACTTTGAAGAATTATTAAATCAAGATTATCATCTAAAGAGTCATTTGAATGGGTTTCCCTGTTATATTGTTGATCAATTTTCTTCTCCTATTAAAAATCTTAATTATTCTAAAGCTCACTTAAATTCTAAACTTCACTTTTTTGGTTTTTTTATTAAAAATTTCAAAAAGTTTAAAAAGACTTTCTCGGTTTAAACTTTGTGGTGACTATCTGTTTTGGTTTTTTCTTTGCATTGCTTTTGTATCGTTTTGTGCATCGTGGAATAATTTGTCTTTATAATTGTATATAATTTTTTTGTTGAATCCTTGACTCGAAGTAGTTTTGTATGATGAATTGATGATCGCATGATGGAAAAATATCTAGGCTCTTGTGTAGATATGAATTAAAAAAAGAACTCCAAAGCCATTTGAAAGGGAGTTTATGTCTGTAATGTGCATATATGGTTTACGTTCAATGGTTTATGATATCACACATCACCACAGAAGTCTGACTGAATCGTCGGCCGGCAATCAGATCTTTTTGAACAGACTTCAAGCAATGTCTTCTGTCACTGTTGATCTCCTAAACACCTACTCGCATACTGATCCCTTTGAGAACCATTCGAGAGAAACAAATATTTCGAAAAGACACAGTGAAATTATTTCTTCAACTGTTTGATGGTATCTCAGAGAGAGTGAAGTTCTTCAGAATTAAGTCACTCGCTTCAATCAATCTTTGTACTTCTCTCCGTGAGGTTTAAGGGGTAAATTCTAAATGAATAATTCAAATTGTTCTGGTCCAAGAAAATCTTTTGGATAAGCGTCTTGGGCCACCTTCAACTTGAGGTAGCCATTTGAGGACACCTACGATGAGCCTCCAAGGCAAATATGATGACCATGCCAGACGAGCATTCCATTAAGCAAACAAGGAACGAAATTAGTCAAGACTTCGATGGAGTCAAGTCCACAAGTAAGACTGATATTTCTTGATTGGATTTTGGTATGTTCATTGTTCAAAAAACAAGCTTGGTCAATGTGAAGCCAACTTTGTTTGGGAAATTGTTTTTCATATACAAAATAGATGTGAACCAGCATATACTTTCTTATATGCGACCTTAACAGTAGTCTTACTAACTGGCGCTCTGGCAGGGAAGGCGGGTATTACGTAAGTCCCTCTACCAGACACCCGAGATTGCGCGGAAAAGTGTCTGACCAAAGATGGACTTAGTTAAGATAGAAATAGCCAGGTGTCCATCTTCTTACTGTGATATTTGGGTGACTGACAAGTTTTTTCCAATGTTGACGAAGCGATTCTGGTTTTGTGACTACGATCTGAGCCGTTTATGACGATATGATACTTGTGTTCGTAAATTCGTATCAAGATAACGACTGAATAGTTGATAAGAACGATGAACGAATGGAACAACCAATCAGAAAGCAACGGGCTGTCAATGGGTGCCATATGCCATAGTTGATCATATACCCTGCACCGTATTCATATTTGGCTCCCGATCTCCATAATTTTATCACCTTTAGACACGTTACGGTTGGACATGATCAGATAACTCCATCATCATCACACAAATGATACGAAGCCACGAAGAAAAGTCGACTGCCTCGCCTTGGTTAAGTTACTCGGGGTGATCCAGATTCAGTGAGGTCCCGCAACCTATACATATCCTTGAATGAAATACGTCTCAGATGTCTGAGGCATGGGGAGAACTTCGTTTTAATGTCGATTGGAGCCTACTTGTTGTCTATGCGCTCAAGATGCTGCTGGTCGCAGTCTATGTATGTCAGATTTCCGACCTGCTCCGACGATCACTGGTTCCATGACCCGTTAGAGGTGATTCCTATGATGAGCTGCGATGAGAACCAACAATATAAAAGAGCCCATCTTGATTGCTTGAAAAGGTCTGGTTACTCGTGCTTTTAATCGACTTTCTAAGAATCTGATATCGAAGATTGCATTGAAAAAATCTCTAGTTTTGCTCCACTCAATATGCATTCAAAGCTTCTGTTGACTGCACTCGTCTGTACACTGTCTTTCACCTTGGGACAAAGTGAGTCTTGAGGTTAAAATCGAGTCTCTTTATCTCCTCTACTTGGAATGTTAGGCAAGCCCATGTTGATTATGTACTTGTCTTCACAACCCTTTACCATTGCATTGATAATGAATGTAGTTCAACCATGGGAGACACAAAGTGAGTACTGATGTATGTGCAGATCTAGATGATCAAAGGTTAGATTCTGAACCATGGAAGTCGGAACAAGGCAAAAATCTTTGTCAACAACTTGAAACACACCTGAAAGGAGAGGCGGCAGAGGTGCCACTCGAGGATCTCTTTGGTTCTGAGTCTCTCGTCACGTATAATTATTACAACAAAGGGCTAAGACAGGTATCTACTCAAGGTTAGTGATCAATTACATGCAGACTCATTTCTCCCTTCTCATCTGCTAACAACCTGAACTACCAGAATTTTTCCAGCACACTGAAAAAGGAAACTTCAAGCCACGAGGTGTTGCCGGGTATTCAGGCCTAAGTATGTCACAATCAAAATTGAAAGAATATCCAATTTCATTTCATATTTGCTCATTCGATACTTTTCTTTATCATTCACTAGCATTCAGCCCGACTGACTCCAGCCACAAATTGTATGGTCGTAATTGGATTTGGGAATATATTCATGATGATGGATTCTTGTATTCAGGATTTGGAGAGGTAACAATTGCCGACCCACATACACATATATCTGTGATCAATATAAAATATGGCGGAAAACAACCGGCCTGAGTACATTCTTTCCTAGCCTCCCTCAACAGAGAGATGCATTATGTACCGCTTCCCCCAGTGCAATTTTACTCCTTTTCTGTACTTCACCACCAATTACATTTACAACTACCTGCTATCCAGACAAAAACAGACACTAGCACCATTTCCCCTGAATGAACATCCACCAGGGTTTTGCCAGGACTGGACACATTATAGCTATGTCTAATAGCCTAGTAGCAAGGCTGCCACTATGCTATACCAGGATATTATAACATAGGTCTAGTATATTTCAAAAATGTACTGGGTATATGTGTCAGTATAGTGTAGTTGAAATACACTATACCTATGGTATAATATCCTGGTATAGCATACATAGTGGCAGCCTTCTCAGGCCTGTTGTTTTCCACCATATTTTATATTGACTGTGGTGTGTGGCTTGGCAATTTCTACCTTGCCAAACCCTGAATACAAGAATCCATCATCATGAATATGTTCCCATACTGAAACATATACCCATTATATTTGGATTTACCCAATATACCTGGAAGCCACACTCACACCTGAAGCCACAAAGCCTTGTGGCACCATAGTGGGGTGCAGGGCCATGTCTCTTGCCATGACTCTTGCCATGCCCCTGGGCCCTCTGTGGCCTTTGCAGGGCATTAAGTTCAGCAAAGCCCCCTCAAAGATAGGCTTAAGTGTGAGGCAGTGACCAAAATTGAGTTTGGCTATCATTGGAAATCCTCATTTCATGACACCATTCATGATATAGAGTTCCTTTCTTTTGATTCCTTTCTCAATAGGTCATTTACAAAGACTCAAGAGATAACAGTAAAGCAAGCCAGACAAAAGATATCAACAATGAAAAATCTTACAATTCACTACACTCAAACAAAATCTATTATCCAAGATTAATGATCACAAAGAAAGGACCAGAAATTCAGTTAGCATAAACTGTAAGATGAGAAAAGGAGAAATCAATGGAAAGATAAACAAGAAATAATGACTCAACCTATTCATTGTACATTCATCTTCTTTACAACTTCATAAAACAATGAATGGTTTACACTAACAGGTTTCAGTGCATCAAGTAAATCAAGTTGGAAGTTGGGTGAATGGTGCTAGTGGATGAGTTGCATCTGCTGCATTGACAGGGATCTGGATCAATGCAGATTGAGAAATGAGCAAACACTTGATAGCATGTTGTGGTTTCTCAAATATGTGCCCCAGATCAGGGCTTTATTTTGGCGCCAAAGTGAGGCCCTTTGGGATTCCAGCCCAATGTCTCAATGCAAGATGGTTGGGACATCCTCCTGCAAAAAGATGCCTTTGTGCTGTAGAAACTTTGCATCTACCACATGCAAAATGTACATATTAAGCTTAACTAATCCCTCTTTACAAACCGGCCACGTCCGCTCTCAAAGAGGGGTCTGGCTAGAAAGGGCCTTACCATGGCAGGCCACACCAGGTGTAGGCCGTGGCCACAAAAAAGGTGCCGGTGTGGTAATTGATCTATGAGACCAATCAAAAAACTCAAATTTCAATAACATCAATTTGAGTACATATAGGTTTATCTTGAAATTATCATATTATATTAACAAACTTATTAAGATCAGTATAAACTATTAAGAAATGAATTACAAAAAGATAGAAAAAAGAAGAAAAAACATGAGAGAGAGTCAATATAGGTATACAGGCTGGGAAATGGTCTTTAGGGTATTAATACTAGGTTTAAGGGCATAGTAAGGTTAGAATATGCAAGAAAAGTGTTACATTGTACAGTAAAAACTTTAATCTTGATGGTTGATAAGAGAAAATAGAAGTTATCGAGGACATGGGAAAAAGTCAAAGATGGTAAACATGGGGTTTTACAGGTAGTTTACATATGTAATGGTGGTATGAGTAATGAATAAGGTTGCCAAGAGGGATTTTAAGGATTTTCATGGTGGGGGATTGCTGTGTAATGTTACAGAGTAAAAGAAAAGCTTGGTAAAAGGTGTGTAAAGTGGTGAAAATGGGTGAAAATAGTTGGAAATGAAGGTTTCCAGCTGATTACATATGTCAAATGACGTCAGGACATGATGAGAAATAGTTCATTCAACAAAGAATCATCAAATTCATAATCCACAACCTTCAAATCATTAGTAACAGAGGTGTATGACAAAGGTTATAAGGAATCAAAGGATTTGATTGCACATCAACAAGATCACAAATCAGTAATAACAATCAAATACATCATTGACATACTGAATCAGCATAAGATCAAATCAATATTCATTCTAGAACATTCAAAACACAGCATATACCCAGCATATCCACAGCAATTGATCATATGAATAGGGATTAGTCATTTTTTACTGGTCAAGTTAGTAATAACTCTTATCAGATGATGAATGGAAGATCACATTACATTACAGCAATAATAATCATGGATTAGTAAGCCAATGATGGCGAAATTTAGGATTGTACAAAGTGATTGAATCATCAGATCATAGCTGTTTACCAACATTTTAGTCATCTTTTGGTTTGTGAGATGGTAAAGAGGGTTTTTAAGAGCTGTTGACCACTTCATTGATTTGTATATAAACTTGTGTGCTTTGTGCAAACTTCTGTTTCCTTTCTTCCTCATCTCTTACAGACCTTTAATCAGTTGTATCATTATAAACTTATTATAGCAGTACTAGGTCACTCAAACCAGCCCTTCATCAGAGGAGAAATTTGTTTTATGTGATTTATATGACACTGTCATTCTGGAATAACACTAAAATTGTTTTGAGATTAATTAAATCAGGTGATTTTCTTTCACCAAATCGGATATATTTCTCTTGGACCTTATCAGTACTCAAGTCAACAGATTTCTCTTTCTGATTGACTTGTTTTAGAAGAGCAGTCCTTAGACAACTTCTACTAGTCATTTTTATTGGTAGATCATCCTCTTCCAGCTCTGTATAACCCTTGTTGGTTTATAAGTTCTACTTTGTATGTTGTAGTTGTTGTTGATCTCAATGGCAAGGGGATTTTATAGAAATTTAAGATTATAGGCATGCCAGTGACCCTAGTTTGACTACCTCCACCAAACAGAGCATTTCAGATATTTGGTTTGGACAGGTATATGATAGTTTGATAGTCAATCTGGTTCAAAGTTGTGCTGTCTTTCATTTCGCCTGATTGTGCCACCAAAGAACCGTTGGCACATGCTTCGGCAGCCAGTCAAGATTGTTTGATAGCAGCTGGGATAGGTTTTGACTCCACAGGTAGGCCAGACACAAGAAAGTTGGCCTTGATTTAAGCTCTTGTCTGACAAGCCCTAGGTGCCTGTCATTCAAAGATGAAAACATGGTGGGTAGGTTCAGCTTGTGAGAAATCAAGGTGAAGAGCTTGACACTACAACTACCTACAAATTAAGCTTGATGAAGGTTTAGACAAAATATTTCAGCAGATTTTGACAAGACAACACTATGGCAAGAAAGATGAGCAAGTTCTAAAATCGACAAACCTTGATAAAGGTTTAGACAAAATCTTTCAGCAGATGCTGACAAGACAACACTGAGGCAAGAAAGATGAGCAAGTTCTAAACTCGACAAACCTTGATAAAGGTTTAGACAAAATCTTTCAGCAGATGCTGACAAGACAACACTGAGGCAAGAAAGATGAGCTAGTTCTAAATTCAACAAACCTGGACAACAGCAAGGAATGAAAGGAATAAAACTACAAGAGAAATACAAGAGAAAGTACAAGAGGAAGTAATAAGCGGATGAGAAGGGTGTTGTGTGACAGTCAAGCATTAGCTGTAATCTTAGTAAAGCCAAGAAAAAGAAACACCCAGCACTGGTAATAACTCACCTTTAGAATGCTTTTCCTTTATGAGGGGAAAAGATTCTGAAGGGAGACAGAGCCAGGTGTGTAGAGAAAAACACACAGCCCACAAATCACAAACTATAATAACTGAAACATTACAAATAAACAAGTCAGTTAACCCAGATCCCCCAATCCGGACAAGTTCTTCTCATAATCCCTTAACCAATTGATTTTGATACAAGTTACTTCTTCTCCAGTTTCCACCATACTCAATTCCAACCTATTGAACTTATCCCAATCCATATACCCACACACACACTTTCCAACTTCAGTTCTTTAAGTGGATCAAGTAACTACCTCACTTGGTTTTGACCAATTGTTGTTTTCTACAACACAGCGTTGTGGTGATCAATTTAAGGGATCAATCAAAAAAATTATTATTGCAACTTACCACCAAAGGCACAACATGGTAAGGTACTTCTATCGTAGCTACACGGGTAAGAGTCCAACTAGGTGCACATGTAAGAATTACATACACGGCAAATCTGCGTGGACCAAAGATACAGAAAGAGAGGGAAATTTTCCTCCTCTCTACAACTATCTTTTCCCTGCACCTCAGTTGTGATAGCAGAGCATACAAGCTCTTCAAGTGCTAAAATAATCAATTCCCTTTTATTTTTAGCACCCACCCTCCATCCCTAGGCTAGGACAAATCTCTCCGGTACCATGTTTTCAGGCACTTTACGTAGTTTAGAACACGGAACGGGCCACAGGTCAGACCACGTAGGGCCTCTAACGTAGACCCCAAGGTAGACCTGGTATCCTTCCGCGCTCAAGACGACCCCCCCACACTATTCTCAACTTAGGTAATCCTAGGTAGGATAGCATAAGGCTGAGAACATGATATCAACGCTGCCACCGTTACTTTACTATTTTTAGTAAAGTATTGGTATCGTATCTTTTTCGTGGTATCCTACCCCCAATACTTGGTATCGGTATTGGCAATACTGTACTGGCCTGGTCCTGACATAGTATCTTGGGATCCGATACCGTATCCGGTAAAGTACCGCCGAGGGCGATACTATACCGGGCAGGGTCCCGGTTAGTATCCCAGTATCTGTCAGTATTTTCCAGTATCGACACCAAAGCCAACATCGGAGGTCAACTACTCAACACCCTCTCTCTACCACTCTCTCTTGGCGCTTTCCCCTAATTTGATTGAT